CACAAAATGTTCAGTACATAAATTCAACTTCCAATAAAACTCGGCTCACAATTTTATGTAGTCAACATAATAATGTGCATAGGCCCTGCTATTGGCGACTACATGCATCACGAAGTAAAAAATTATGTGGTCTTTGGAAAGTATCATGTGCGGGTCCACCTCATACTTGCACTCAACCTGTTATATCTGGTGGACATCACAATTGCACCTCAAAATTTATATGTAGGCATATCATCACAATTGCACCTCAACCTGTTATACGAACAAGAGAGCAGTGCACATGAAATCTTTTATGGTACACCATCTCAAAATCCCGCAACACAAACATTTATACCCATAGCAATACCAGAGTGGATGTCAAGAGTTGGGTTACCATCCTCCCCCTCGCAGCAAGATATATTGTTAATGGGAGGACAAACTTCAGAACAGTATACTGATGTGAGGCAACATCGACCTGAAGTTCCACCACAAGATGAGGAATTTATTGAGGAAGAGCAACAGCTACAACGACGCAGGAGAAGAGCTCCAGATAGATATACTCCTGGTAGTAGGGCTCTTCCTCGGCATCGATAGATGGTTTGGGCAAAAATTTTGTCTTACTTATGCTAACCATTTTATGTATGTGAATGTTCGATGATCTGTAAGACAACTTAAAACCTGCTATTTATGCTCTCTTATTTATATTCAGCATGCAAAATATAGTATTCTCTACGTTCTTTTATACTTGAGTTGAATATTATTCCAAGTCATTTCACTACATATTTCGCTCCTTGGTTCATAGGAATTCACATGTGAAGGAAGAAGAAGTTTATTATTACAAAATATACTCGGAGGTCAATGAAAATATGAGAGGCGCAACAACACACCAACTAATAGAAGAAGGAAGTACCCGTATACATGAAAGTTTGGCTTATAGCACAGATGAGATCCTGGAAGCAAAAACAACTACAAATGAAATTTATAGATGTCTTCTACATACTTGGGGGGAAGACGAGGATGTTGTCCTGTCTCTCTCTAACTAAAAAGCACTTGATAAACAAATAAAAGCTAAAAAACAGAGGAAGTCATCCGTCAGTACCTTCATGAATATATTAAAAAAAAAGACAAACTGATATTATCATGGCACTGAAAAAAAAAAAACTCTTCCATTACCATGTTTTTCAGCCCAATCATTAACGGGTTGCATTGAAAACAGAAAAATGAAATTGCATATAACGAAAATTAATAAATTCAAAGAATGCGCCGGATTAGAGCGCGTATTGTTTGTGAAAATGAAGAATGCGCCTAATCAAATGGCGTATTCTTTGAATGCGCCAACTATAATGGCGCATTCAATAAATACGCTAAACAATCCAACGTATTTGATGCTTTTAAAATTATTTAAAAAAACTGCTCCTTCCCTTAAATGTCACATTAAACGAGCTTGTTTCCAAAATTTTGCCCTCTCCTTATGAGGTGCAATTGTGATGTCCACCAGGTATAACAGGTTGAGTGCAAGTATGAGGTGGACCCGCAGATGATACTTTCCAAAGACCACATAATTTTTTACTTCGGGATGCATGTAGTCGCCAATAGCAGGGCCTATGCACATTATTATGTTGACTACATAAAATTGTGAGCCGAGTTTTATTGGAAGTTGAATTTATGTACTGAACATTTTGTGAGATTGACCAACCATTAATTGCAGCTTGTAAGTCTTCTTTGTTATGAAAGATTTGTCCTTCATAAACTTTCGATGGAATGGTCGCTTCTGTTGAGCTAACAATATT